ATCATATTCGCATCATCAGATGAGTCACAAACTAAAATCTCCCTAAACCGACATTTCACTTCCACCGCCCCGTCGTCCGAGCCGCCCGTCCCGAACTACATCGTCCGACCGTATCCGGTCCCGGGCACCACCGATCCGCCGAGCCGCTGGTCGTGTCCGCCGCCGCCGTGTCCACCGCCGCCGCCGCCGCCGCCACCTCGGTCGTTGTACGTCCAAGGCATGCCGTCGTCTGAAATCAAAATAAAACCCGCACCGTTTTACTACGCGTCGTACTACGCACCCGGTGCACCCGAGTCGATTGTCAAAGTCGCGGCGCTAAGAAAACGTTACCGTAAGAATACACATCAACAACGCTGCAACACATCCGTCAGTTAGGTTCGGTAATCCTGGAAAGGTACGGGACCGGTTCATGATCATGAGGTCCATGTTCAATACGGAGGGCTTTAATAGCACAGTTTAAGAGTTTACGTCGTACCCTTTCGATTTGATTCCTACTAGTCGCACGCGTGCCTAAGGGGGAGGCAGGGTGGGCAGACGTTCTTGGCCTCTTGGCCTATAATGGTGAAACCACGGATAAATATATATATATATATAGTATCTATATCCGTGGCTGAAACAGTAACAGTAGGTATTTTTAGGTAGAAGGTAAATTTAAATTTATATTGAATTTCATTATTTGTAATATTTTAATAAATAACTGTTTAATAACTGTGGGTAATAAGATGTGTAGAGAAGGTTGATTTTTTTTGAAAAAATAACTAAGTAGCGCAATAGTTAATAGGCCTTGTTTATAAGTTCATAGTTGTAATAGAATAGGAAACCGATTTTAAGATTAGAAAAAATCTTTGATTTGGCGCGCCGAAAAAATTCCAGCTGCTATATACTTTTCACACACCAAAAATAAGTCGCAAATATAGATATAGATCGTTGTAGTAAGTAAAAAATTTAAATTTTATAACTGGCCTCTCTAGCCACGGAGGTCTGGATACGTCTATGCTACTAGTAGCTGTATACGAATCCTAAATAACAATACCATATTCTAGAATTGACCTGAAAAGTGCCCAATTTAAAGCTTTAAGTGGTGCTAACAATTTAAATTCAGTGGAAATTCTTTTTATGAACCCAAGTGTTTTTAGAGCTTTGCAGCATGATTTTTCGATAGAATATTTCAATATTTTTCAATTATGAACGCATCGAGCGAAGAACGATCCAAATACATTTTATTTTTATGTACCAGGTGTTCCAACCACCTTTATCCATCCATACGAATTTTCACAGTTTCCTATTAACCTTCAATCAACATTGATGGCTGTAATCATATATTTGAAATTTTTACTCATTATGAATTTATCGACATTATTTGTATACAATAAGTAAAATATGCATGATTTATTAATTATTAATTAGCCAGTATTTGAGACTTTTTTTCGGTACTGTTTATCCAAGCTGATTCGGCGAAATTCGATTTGGTTAATTGAATATGGATTATGAATTCAGGCTACATAAAAGTCAATCGGGTTCGGATTGATTTGGATTCGGCACTGTTTAATATACCGTTGATTAATTTCGTTTATTTCGGTATTCTTGGAATAGTAATATTACTACCATATTTAATCTTTATCTTTAATTGGTACGAAGAGGATATAGTTTTATTTTTTTCGTTTTATTATTATTATTCGTTTTATTCGTTTTATTTTGTTGGTTATTTTATAAATCATATTGTATTGGAACGAAACTGAACTCGAACCTGTTATTACAATCATGTTGTTTTGTACTTCGATAATTATGTACAGCCCTTAATCTCAGAAATTAGAGTACAACTTGAACAGGAAAATAGTATAGTTTTGCGAAAAAATTATATTTACAATTCTGTCCTACGCATTTTTATGCAGTAAATACAAAACTAGTTTATATGTTATTATAATTATTATTTTTTTTTGCTATAGTCGGGAAAGCAAAACGTTTTTACAAATAATATTGCATTTTAAATTATTCGGTCGTATGATTCAAAGTTCTAGACATTCGTTACAAAACAGTAATCACTTGTTTGGTGACTGTTTTTACCATTACATACAGATTCATTATTGGTGAATTCGAAGAAATAAATTGGTTTGTGTAATTTAAACTTTGTAAATTGTTAAATATCGATTAGTAAACGCAATTGGATCAATGGATAATAATTTAGATACGTTGAAAATCGGCAATGAATAATAATCATAAAAACCAATATACTTTTACAAGATTTGTCAAACTCGATTTTACACATTTCTCTTCAAAATTATTCATCAGTAACTAATTTTTATATTTTTAATCAGAAATTAATTTTATTTTAAGCCGACGTTTTACTGAAAATGTCAAGTTGTCGACAATTTCAAATTATTGTTACAATACATAGAATAAAACAAACGAATATAATGAACTAGATTCTGATTATTTATTCATTTTTTTTTTGTAGGCTGGAATTTGAACGAAAACCGACCAATAATATTGTATTGAATTCATTGACATATCATTACAGCTGTTATGTTTAAAACAATGTGTTTAAATCAAAATGCTTAAAACTGTTTTAAACAATTTATTTTAAACATCATTAAAATTGTTTAAAACATGTTTTTTATTTATGCTTTTCAACTAATTTTTAAACAATTTAGAGTTAATGTTGAAACTATAGGATATGTATTATATATCTAGGAACTTCAAAAAGTTAGTATCAAAATATTTCAAGACTTAAGTTACTAGCAGCGGTTGAACAAGGGAAAGAAAGACAGGAATTCATCCCCGGGCGTAAAATTTGAGGGTGTCCTTTTTGTAGTATAATTATATTATAATCTATTGTTGACGACTAGTTTGATATTTTTAACTTTATTAAGTACCCTGATAATGTGTTTTAAACTCAATAAGTATGATTGTATGCAAATTATTGGAAAATAATTATCGTGAAGGGTATTTGATTCTTGGTACACGATAGGGTGTAATTTTAACATTTTCACCTCTGGTCTAAATTTATTAGAAATAAATTATACACCCAACACATGACGTACGACTAACTTAATTATTAAGTATTTACGCAACAATTTCAATAACTGATAAAGTGATAGACGAAGACGATAGTTTTTGACCGTGTAGCCGTGACGCCGCGTATATGTATTTATACAGAACGATGTATTGATACAGCTTGGTATACCGTAATACCATAGAATAGATGGAATATTAGATAATAGAAACAATGCTATCGGAAATCGTATGTTGTACAATATTATAATGGAATTTATCGGGCGCCGCTTGTGCGCATCTGCGTTGTGCTTCGGTGCATCTTTGTCACTGTCTGTACTTAACCCTTTCAAACCCAAAGTACACTGTAGTGTACGATGACTGTCAATGTTTACAACGCCTGCTTAAATTGAGATATATGCACGGGTCATAGTCTCGTTTTCAAAAACAACTTGTTTTTTTCACAAAAAAAAAAAAAAAAAAAACGGAACTCGTTTGAAACAATTAAACATGACATTTGAAATTTGAAAACATAAATAACGACTCCGCATGTGGTGCACGGTAATCATTTAGTAAAACATTTGTAATAATTGTGTTTTCCGTTGAAAACCATTGGTCCCGAACGGTTCTTGTGGAACACGTTCGCAATAACGGGCGCGTCGGAGTTGTTCGAGACGGAACTCTTGAGTTGGGTCCCGAGATATTTTATTGCTTAAAAAAAACAGGAGTTGGGTCCGCGGTGTTGTTTAATAATACTCGAATTGGGTCCACGGTTGATTTTATCTTGTTGTTATCTTAATTACCCAACTCAAGTTTTCTTAGTAAAAGATTTGTGTTTTAAATTTCTTTTATAATTTAAACTATATAATTATAAATAAACTATTAGTGATAAAAGTAAAAAAAAAAAAAATAAAATTTGATCTAAAATCAAGCCAATTCAATAATATTTTTTTACGAAAAAAAAAAAAAAAAAAAAAAATTTAATAAAAAAAAAAACAATTTAAAAAATTTTTTTTAAAAAAAAAAAAAAAAAAAAAAACTAATTGAATAATAATTTTAATATTTTAACGATGTTCACATCAAACCGTCACTTTTGTATAACAAAAAACTAAATTTTGGAAGACTTCCTAGCCAATCTCCACATGGTGTCTTCTGGGTAACGCAAATAAGCTGGACCCAACTCATGTACTCAATAAAACACGTTCGGACCCAATTCATACTCTTTTTGAAATTTAGGACCGAAATCGAGGTTATCCGTTCGAGATCGAGTCGGTTGAGAATCGCGGGATCGATCGGGTTTTCTCGTAGACGAGGTTTCGAAACGCCGCGGCGGCCGACGGACCGTCGGGAAACGCGTGCACGACGATTGTCGGTTCCCGCGGACGGGGCGGGACGTCACGGCGCGCCGAGGAAAATCCGTCAAAAGTTTCGGGGAGAAAAAATAAAAATCCAAGAACAAAAAAACATAAACGCACGCACCCCCCCCCCACCCTAAATAAACGGGCGAACGTATGGCGGAAGAGTGGCGGTTATACGAGCGCGCCCGGAACGCCGGAAACCGCTTTGCACGTCGGGCCACGCGCACATCGTTTCCGACCACGTACGCCGCACACGTTATCGTCTCGGGTACGCGCGCACGGTCCGCCGGTTAAGAGGATCGACGGGGCGGTTGGCGCGCGCGCGACTCCTCCGCCGCGCTCACAAGACGTCTCGGCA